ATTTGGAAATTAAATCTTGGGTCTATAGATTTTCATCCCAAATCATAATGAATGTGATTTCCCCTCAACTCTGCTGCTAATGAGTTAAGACCATTATCCTGAGAATCTAGCCTCAGTTCTTAATAACTGATGCTGTGTCTTCCACTGTGAACTCTGACATAGCAAGGCTACCAAAGCAGACGCTGGCAGTGTCATCATCTTCCCAGACAACTTGTATGAATCAACAGATGAACATCTGGAAAGGGACCTAGGGGCCCTAGCACAAGTAAAATTAAGGTGATGAGTAAGAAAACAGGTTCAATAACAAAGTAGGAGGGCAAAGCAACAAACAGCTGGTAGAAATTAAATTCCATGACCATAGCATTAAAATATCTAAACAGGCAGATATGCTGGGAAAAATTATTTGGGGTTACCAGGAGCAAGGAAATGGAACAGATGGAAACAAAGTGGAATGTCTGTTCTGTTTAAATGTTTGTTTTACTTTTTTCCCCGAGTCTGATAGATTACACAGTTAGAGTAACACACTGATTCTCAGGAACCAAGTCTCGGCCACTAAATTGACTAACAGACTTGGCATCCATATGAATCTATTAAATAAATATGTTTAGCATTTACTGAGGGATCAGGTACCTGAAAAAAAAAAGGGGGTCATTTGTTCCAAAGCCTGGCCAGCCTGTGCATTACTGGTGGAAGAGAAATGGATTTCACAGTGCGAGACAAAGCTGCCACTTGGCTGCATTGATTTCCAATGCCTCTCCAAGTTTGTGAAGTCAAATATGCCTTTTGATGGGTGTGAATTGCCTTTTTGTGATCAATGGTTGAACACCTTAGGTTCTTTTCCACTGTGTTCAGTTTTTGCGTTGACTAGCACCACCTTAGCCTGGAGTAACGTAGCAGCTGGCGCTCAGCCCCTCCTCCTGGGAAAGCCAAAAATAAGCCTGCGTGCCTCTTATATCTGACAGAAAGTATGATTATAGAAATCTGCTTAGCCGCACTTAAGAAAATGGGCTAAACTTGCACCATTAAAAACCTCACGAGAATTTCATTAGAGTAATAGCAAGAGCTCATCACAAACACACACATGAAAATGATAGTACTTTGCTCTGGCACATAGTTTACTACCTTGGGGAATAACAGATGGGCTAAGACGGGAGGCATATGTAAAATATTTATGAAAGGCAAAGTAATTGAGATAGTAAACTCATAAAACAGTAATTTCCTCTACTATATTCAGCAGCACGTACAAAAATGAGAATATTTTTTACATAATAAAATAAAATGCACAGGCAAAAGCTACAGATGAAACAGTAAAAGAGAAGCAGAAATATACAAGTTACAGTTCCCTTTAATACACTTGAAAGTGGTTAGGGGGAAAAAATAACTGCAGAAAGAGTCTTGTAGAGTCTTTGCTGTTGTGACTCTTGGTAAGAAAACCTGGAATTTGTATTTGCTTCCTTTCAAAGGGTTTAGATTTGTTCTAACATAGGGTGTTCCCTTCAATGTCCCTGTGAAGCAGGTAGATGAATCAAAGTGACTCTGCACACTTCCATAATGAGATCTCACGGGGGTGAGGAGCAGACAGGAGAATATCATTTAAAGCTCTATCTTAGGATTTTCCATGCAGCTACCCTTTGTGGCCCCTTTACTTCTTACCTACCTAGTCAAGACACATTCAATTTTTTTAGAAATTAGAATGCAGTGAGCAAGAAAATCCAAAGATCACACTTAAAAACAGCATTACAGCACACTCCAGAAGTAAAGGGAATATCACTGTAGGCTTCTGATACGATCTTTAAGACTGCAGGCAAAAAGGGTATTAGAGGGATTCAAGACACACACAGGGAGCATGAACATACCCGTCTCTGGTTCTTCTAGACTTACCCCCATGACATATCATTCCTCTTCAAGCTCTGAAAATGAAAAATCTGCACAGAAATAATAAAACCTGATCCTGGAAAAGATGAAGAGATTAGTCAAAACGCCAAAGGTACCAGGGCGGCCCTGGAGTGCTCACAGCCTGACCCACTTGTCTTCACAGGGGTGGCTCGTGGTCATTTTCACAATGTGGCTTGAGAAGAAAAAAGGCCTACCTGTCCCCAGGCAAGGCTGCCCATATGCCTCCTATTTGCTGGTCATATCTTCAGGTGAAAAATTACTTCCTTCTTGAAACTTCCATTGGTTCCCCTGTTCTTTGAAATGCAACAATTTATACAGTCATTCAGAAAATATTTATAGAGGGTCTATTCCATGACCACCAGTTGGGATAAACTAATGAAAAAGACAGAGCCCCTGTATACTTCCTGCTCAAGATTATTAGAAGGCCTAAGACAGTAATGAAAAAAAAAAAAAGCAAGAAAAAAATCAGTTTTAAAATCAGCTAATGTGACAGAGAATAACTGGTTGGTTATTTAAATTAGGTGGCCTAATAACAACCTTTTCAGGAGGTTATATTTCAGATATAGATGACCAGAAGAAGCCATATATGTAATGAAGAGAGGGAAGAACATTCCTGGCAGAGGCAGCAGCTATGGCAATGGCCTGACGTTGCCGTGACGCGCGTGTTTGAAGACAAAAAGCAAAAAAGTGGGGACAAAACCATGGAATGAGATGAATGCAGAAAGAAAGGCATGGTCTGAATCACCCTGGGACATATAAACCAGAGCAAAGAAAGCACAGAAGGAAGCCACTGGAGGGGCAGAGGGAAGTGACTGACATTTAAAAATACTCTCACTGGTGTACAGAGAATGTGTGGCAGGAGAGCAAGACGGGAAACAGAGATACCAGCGGCACCACTGCTGGCGTAGCCAAAAGCCGGATAATGGTGGCCTGGCGCAACATGGTGGATGCAGAGATGGGTAGGCAGATGGGGAGACTGAACTGACTCAGACAGATGATAGGGTTGACAGGAGAAGCAGGGACAAAGAAGGAAGGAAGCAGAAACGTGAGACTTCTGGGTTGGGTCACTGACCGGATGCCAAGACCATTGACTGAAGGAAGGAAGACTAAATGGGAATATGTTAGGGAATCAAGAGTTATTCTTTGGCCACTTAGTTTTGAGGTGTCTATTAAACATCCACATGGGGATATCAAGTTGGTATTTGGAAAGAGAGAGACTGCAGAAAGAACACAGAATGCCTGCTAGGTTTCTAGTGAACTGCAGTTGACTTCACCTCACCTTGTTCTTTCTTCTGCCTTACCTAGCTGTGATGAAGCTAGGGTTATATAAAGTATGAAGAAACTTTACAAGGAATAAAGTAAAACCCCCACATTTGAAATTATTCGTATCACTTTCCATCCAGTGTTTATCTGGCACGCACTGTTAAAATGTCTTCATTCTGGAAGTTTCAGGAAATGTCAATTATGCCATGTTTTCTCCCAAAGTTGTAGCTTTCAGTGGGATCATGTTGTAAAGAAAATTGAAGCTGATCCTAAAAATGATAAAAGGAAAACTATCTCCAAGAGTTAGCATGTCACCGACTCTGCTCTAACCTGACAGTCACACAGACTTGTCTTTATGGCCTTTCTCACATACCTAGCCAAGTAATCAATGCAAACTTGAGAAGTTCAAGTTTCCCTAGTTGTGAGCCTGCTGGAAAGGCTTCAGTGCCCTAAACATGGGGATTGAGCAAATCATCTCAAATTTCATAGTTTCTCCTTCTTTAAAAAAAATCCTATGAGGGGAACCTGGGTGGCTCAATTGGTTAAGCGTCTGACTTTGGCTCAGGTCATGATCACATGGCTCGTGGGTTTGAGCCCCATGTCGGGCTCTGTGCTGATGGCTAGCTCAGAGCCTAGAGTCTGCTTCAGATTCTGTATCTCCCTCTCTCTCTGACCCTCCCCTGCTCATGCTGTCTCTCTCTCTCTCAGAAATAAATAAAACATTTTTAAAAATAAATAAATAATTAAAAAAATTTTAAATCCTATGAAAAAAAAATGCCCTTTTAGGGGGCAAGAATATTTCCAGTATCAAGCATGAACACCTTAGCAGGGAATTAGCTTATATGATTATTAACCAAAAAATATGCATTTAAAGAAGAGGACAGTCTTCTGACTGACTGGTCAGTTTGACCTAGGCCGAGGTCAGGTAGCCCAGAGGACCAGTTCATTCTAGGCAAAGCATAGCATCATGGACAGGCCAAGGGATGTCACATAAACAGCTCTAAAAGTATATGTCAGGCCGTCTCTGATTTTCTTGGCTACATAGTTGCACATCCCATGGAGAATAGGGCTCCTTGCTTTTTTGTCCTCATTTGGTAAAATGACAAAGCTGTATCTAGATTTCGCATAAAAACGAAACCTTCTGACAAGAGATATGAATTGCACCTAGGAAAACTGCTGTAAAAAAATATGAATATACATACCCATATTATACTCACACCCTGACAATGCTGTCACTATTGTCATCGACAAGAACATCATCCCTTTGGAATGTCTTCCTTTCTGAGAATCGTTAAGAAACTGAGTTTTCGGCACTTCAGCCCGTGCTAAGTGTTTTTGCAGTGTTTATCTACGTGAACGATGAAAATGCATCAAACCATTCTGTAAGGCAGTGGAGTTCACAGATGACTTGTGAGACTACGTGAGAGTCATCCCTACCCAGAGGGAACAAAAGTAATGAACGTACAAAAAAACTGTAATTAATTTAACAATCTTTAAGAAAATAGCACTGAGCTTTCAATTTCGCACATTGTATTTTAACCAGTTTATAGCTTACCGAAGCTAATTTTAAATCCACAAGGGACTCCTTTCAACAGTGATGATGCTTATCAACTCATTCTCCAAAAGGTATGTCATTAGTGAAGGTATGTGCCAGGATACAAACTAATTTTGAGCAGAACATAGTTAGAACGTGGAACTACTACAGCATTAAGTCACTTAGCGTTTTCCAAAGCCAAATTAAAATGGGTTTTGAACTTAATTTTAACTGGTGCCTGAGATTATCCATTCCATTGCCTGTGTGGCTCACTTGATTGAATTTTCTGACCTGTTTTGTTTTTCAGCCTCTGCAAGCACGTATGTCCCGACGGTGTGCAATGGGCGGGAAGTCCTCGACTCCACCACCTCATCCCTGTGATTGTGAAATGCAGTTCAGTTCTCGTGTTTTTAGACTGTTAGACAAAAGTGCTCACGTGCAGCTCCAGAATATGGAAACAGAGCAAAAGAACCCTAGTACCTTTTTTTAGAAACAGTACAATAAATTATTTTTGAGGACTGTACAGTATATAGTGATGTGTTAGAACTTTTTAGGCTGATTTTAGTGCCCATATTATTAACGGTCCCCCCGAACATGGAAATAACCATTGTTTACAGAGCTGAGCATTGGTGACAGGGTCTGACAGGATCAGTCTAAAAAATATGGTGGCAATATTAGGTAACTTTTTTTCCTATGAAGTTTTTTGTAGGTTCTTGTTGTAACTAATTTAGGATGAGTTTCTATGTTGTATATTAAAGTTACATTATGTGTAACAGATTGTTTTTCTCAGCACAAAATAAAAAGCATCTGTATTAATGTAAAAATATTGAGAATAAAACCTTTAAGGTTTTCCAGCATGGTGGATAATGGTGGAATTCTTTTTTAATCACTCCAAGTAATGTGAAAATATTGACTTCAGATCACCTCTGTAAAGATGTTGGAAATACTTGTCTAAGTGTGCTTGTCTTTACATCTACGCACACTTTGAACCCAAGTTGTCACCCTGCTAGAGAGTTCTGAGCAAAACCGGACTTCTTTGTAGATCACAAAGATCAGATTTTGACTGACGATACCATAACCATCAGGCTGTCTCAGGGGCCAGATGACATGAAGCCACGTCTGTACAGCAGCCCGGGGAAGGCTGGATGGCTCTCATTTTCAAAAGCACAAAGACAGGAAACTTTTCTAATGTTAACTACTCTAACCTAACCAGGAAGTTGCTAGGAAGGAGGCTGGGATAGCATCCTGTCATTCCAGTGGAAAACCATTCTTACCACGGATAGCTAAAAGGGGCAGTAAAATGCAGGATATGTTATTTCCCAGTGCGTTTCCAAACTCCCAGTAACAATACTCAGACACAGATGCTTGTCACTAAACTTGAATATTTTACTAAGCTAAATACAAGAGTGAACAGGGAAAGCATGGATAGGGTAAAACTGGCTTATTCTTACCCACACTTTCCTATTTCTCCATTTAACCCTTCAGTCACAAATCATTTATCCACGTAGGAAAATTCACTAAGACCTCATCTTCCCACCACAGGGGCTGTGCAAGACACCATGAAGACAGAAGACATTCATTTCTTCGGGCTGATGTAACAACTTACCACAAATAGGATCACTTAAAGCCACAGAACGTTATTCTCTCACAGTTCTGGAGGCCAGCAGTCCAGAATTACAGTGTCAGCTGCACCCCCTGAGGTTCTGGGGGGGAATCCATTCCATGCTTCTTGTAGCTTCTAGTGGTTGTCAGCTTCCTTGGTTTGTGACCACATCACTCCAATCTCTGGCTCCATCTTCACATCACCTTCTGTGTGTCTGTCTTCCCCTCTGTGTGTCTCTTAGAAGAATACTTACATACCTGTCATTGTCCAGGATAATCTCATCTCAAGAGCCATCAGTTAATTACCTCTGCAAAGGCCCTTTTTCCAAATAAAGTAACAGCCCCAGGTGCAAGGGGTTAGGATGTAGGCATAACTTTTGGGGGACCGACAGAGAAATATGTGATGTAGTTCATGCTTTTAAGTAGGGTAAAGACAGGAAACAATTCTACTTTAAGTTTTTTTTATTTCTTCTGAGACAAAGAGCACACATGCGCATGAGTGGGGGAGGGGCAGAGAGAGAGGAAGAGAGAGACTCCCAAGCAAGCTCCAGGTTCAGCATGGAGCTCAATGAGGGGCTCAGACTCATGACCCTCAAGATCATGACCTGAGCCGAGATCAAGAGTGCGATGCTTACCCAACTTAGCCACCCACGTGTCCCAGGACAGGGAAGAATTCTAATGAATGAAGTATGACTGAGGAAAACAGAGAGAGGGAGAGGAGACTCAAGAATAGGAAGGGCCAGTGAGTTAAATAACTGGGGCCTGGTTCATCAGGATATGTAGGCGCTATTTCTAAAACATCTAGAAATAGTGGCCAGGTGCACATAGCCAACAGAACTGTACTTGAAGGATATCAGGTGGGGGAGTCAGAGGTGAGAAATTTTCTTTTTCCTTCTGAATGCATTTGAATCAGCAACCTACTCAATCCATCCAGCTGCTCAAAGACAACAGTGCAAATCAGTTCCGGAATTTTCATATTCAAAGAAGATCCCAGATTTGGGGGAGTAGGTGGGGAGAATCAGGTAGTAGATTCAGCTGGCATGAGATGGCAGAAAAGAATCCTACTGTGGCCGAAACTGGCAGGAATTCTAGGTAAGTGAGCACTGAGCGTCATGTCTGTTCAAGATAAAGGATGAGCCAAGGCTGAAGTGGGGGAGAATAAAAGCAATCAACTGATGGGATGAGACAGTCTGAGGAAGGTGATATCAGATGGGTTGTTCAGAGACACAGCTGATGCCTAAAACAATCAAATTGATCATGGATCTTTTTAAATAAGACAATTAGGTGGTGGGTGAATCTTGAGAACACTGTATATGAGAGCTGGCTTTGATCTGTGGCCCACTGTGTCTTTCACACTCCATGTGCACTGTGGAAGAACAATCGCTGACAGTTCTTGTCATTTTCTCTTTCCTTACCATAAACTTTGTTTCCTATTTGACAGTGCATCACCTAACATGTGATCCCTAGAAATAAATTTTTAAAAAACAATCAGAGTATGTATGGGAAACAGTGGCTATAAACTCATTTTTACATAAACCATTTCGAACAAAGATGTTTTGAATACTTTTTACTCCAGAAGACATTTCATCCTTCCGGAATATAAAACTGGGTGAGCTGATCCATCTTCATAAAAACTTCCTGAATGTATGGAACTCAGAATGATGTATCCTACTCATTAACATATCAAGACCTGATGATGAGGGTGCCTAACTGTTGGTTTTCTGAGTGTTTACAGTTCCTGAAATGTTCTGTGTCCTCTCTAGTTTGAATGTTAATAGAATCTCTTGCCCACTCATGTTCATCACGGTAATATAAAAAGGCCCCATTTTCAACCTGTGGGACAGCCTGGTTGGCAGACCACAGAATGGACAGATCAAGACAGTCTGAGAAAGGAGGCAATTGAGCAAAGGTACCTTTACAGTCTTCACCTCCACACTCCCCCTGGTCTAGCCTCGACTTTCCTCACTTGCCCACCATGATAGCTTTGGGTCCCAGAGCTCTTCAGCAAAGGGCTGTAAGCATGAAAAAGTCAAGCAAAGTGAGGTGCCAGGAAAATGGCACACCATTGTGGGTTATAACCACCACACCTCTAGTAACAAAGACCCAAACTCAGGAATCAGGCAATGATCACTTCTGTCCTGTAACAGAAAGATTAGGTTTACATAATGCCCACAGGTTTAAACTGTTTTATTTAACCCAACCAATGGTAATCCAAAGCAGCCATCTGAGATAAAGGAAATACTTTCAAGCCCTGCTCTAAACTAAATCTCCCAATATCCACAGGCTATTTTAGATACAGTTCTTCTTCCAAGACTCATTAATAAAATGAGGCAAATTCCAGCAAATTAAAAGCCTTAGTAGGACAGTATGTTCAAGGAAACTGGAGATCTGTTTCTTGACTCATCAATTATTAAAGGGATCCTAAGTGTCTTTTGCAGCTCAGTAAATCTTAAAATACGATTTGGTAAATGTGTGTGGATAGAGGTCTGTGCTGCCAGGATGCATGCAAATGGACCAGGGGACCCTGTCCATGCTCGGGCTCAAGAATCCATGCTGAAGCTGCTTTTGTACGTCAAAAGCCCTTACTCAGGAATACTATGGTTACTTTCACCGGATCTGTAAATAAGACTGAATATTATCTCCAAACCAGTTACCTTAGCAAAAGCCTTACATCGACACTAACAAAAGGCTTTTAAATCAATCTTGCTGGTTGAATTTGAGCCAACTCATATGCTTTAGTTTTACATTTGCTAATGAATATCCATAATTGAATCCCAAAACTACAAGAGTAATTCAAAAGAGTAACTGGCTTTGTCTTTGTTTAGGCAATTAAATCATCAAGGAAGGGGGTTGGGTAATTTTCTTCCTGAATCTCTAGAACTTGACAAACTCTTGAGGTGGTGAGCTCCTAAAGAGCAAAAAATCTTTATGCAGATTCTTCTGATAGTTTTGCATATGGGTTGCTGCAATTAAAACCAGCAGTCAGGAAACCATACCTCGGAGGCCAAATCCTAGTCCAGCACCTGTTTTTATAAGGCCCGTGAGCCAAGAACGCCTCTAGGTTTTTAAATAATTGAGAAAAAAATACAGAATGTCAGGACAATTGAAATTTAAATTACACTCAAATTTCCACATACATAAATAAGTTTTACCCGAATGCAGCCACACCCGTGTGTTGGCATAGGGTCTGTGGCTGCCTTCACACTATCAGGGCAGAGTTGAGCAGCTGCAACAGAGAGCACATGTCCGCTGAAAATATTTACTGTCTGATACTTTACAGCAAAAGTTTGCTGGCTTCTGATCCAGACAATTTCATTAGTAATATCAACTGTAATGGTTATATCAGTATCAACTGCAACAGTGTTATCAATTTACAGTTATTTGTCCCCATCTTCAAGTTTTACTTCTTTCATGTATGATCCTAAAATGAACTCATCTGAAAATGTTAAACTAAAAGAAATAAAATCCAGCAAGAGCGTCATCTCTGGCCAGTTACTATGAAGGTGAAGTCCATTTTAGCACCCAACCAATGCATCAGGTGTTTGTTTGTTTGTTTGTTTGTTTTTAGTTTACTCCCCTTAGGATCTTTCCTTTAGGACAACCTTAATTTAGGACTTGGTCTTAGAAATCTGAGATAGTATTCATGGTTATGACAAAATAGATGTGAGGGTATTTTCATTTCTACCTAACTTCTGCATAAAAAATGATAAATGTGAGCAATACACTGGCTTTAAACTTACCAACTGCAGTCATCTTCCCATCCCAACTTCCAGGAAATTCACTTTCATGAGAAGGGAGAAATGATCTGCACATTAGCTTCCCATTAGGAATGGTCATGAACTACAGGAAGTAGGTCGATTGAGAAATGTCAAATAACAGGTGACCCAATGGGTCTTGAAGAATCACAGTCAATCATGACCCAACACCTAGGAACCTGGAGATTCCACTTAATAAATGACTGGACCCAAGCAACTCTTCCATATTACATTTCAACCATATTTTCTCCTTGGGAAGAAAATAACCACAAAAGTCTACACAAAAATACTATGAAACATTTTTAATCCTGGAAAGGACTTGATTACTAGCAACCAAAAATGAGGAAAGTCAACAAGAATAAAATTCAGTCTTTTAAATCAAGCGGACACATATCAAATTGCTCAACAGTGTTAAATGGCATGATGTAATTTATCCATAGAAGACATGGTCTCGTTCACTGGAAAAGC